CACCCTTTGGTGTGCGACACACTTCTCATGTGACATATGGTTGTCTTGTTGATTGCTTTGTTGCTCTCAGACTGAGGCTACTGCCTCCGACGTTTATAGGATTTAGCTGTTCTGCTTTTGCTGTTCTTAGGACTTATACACTAGTCAGTTGTTACCAGACTGAGGCTAGTGCCTCCAACATTCTAGGATCTAGTTGTCACTACTTTTTGCTTTCCTAGGGCATGTATGTTAGTTAGTTGCTTCTACTTTCACTTAGGCTGTTAGCTGTGACATTGCTGTTTTGTGACATTTTATATCCTAGGTTGCATTGCATGGACTCAGCATGGAGCTTGCTCCGCATCCTAGACTACTCAGGTTTTTTTTCTTTGGTAGATTTCCGCTTCTTGGCGGAAGCATGTTTGTATTTAGGCGATCCATCACAGGCCGAGGATCGTGTAGCGGACCTCGGGTTGGCCTGTGAGACCAGCCCCTTGGCCAATTCTCACAGGCCTGTGTTATATTCGGGGTAGGCCAGTCCAGGCCGGTACCTCTGTTGGTACCAGCCAATCCAGTCCAATCCCGTCAGTCCACTGGGGTATACCCCAGCCATTGTCTGTTTTCAGTCTCATTCCTCACTTGCACATTTTGGAGTACGTGCGTTGGAGTCTTGCGTGGGGAGCTGCGTTGTGCCATCTTGCTCCCCCTTCTTCCTCCATCTCCATCTCTGTGACTAGCGGAGCACCACACCTGGTGGGTCCGCTACAAGGAAGTTGTTGAGGGAGGAAGATACTTCCTGTCCATCAGAAAACAGCTAGTTTGGTGTTGGGGCAGTTTGTGATGCCTTGTAACCCTAGCAAGGGGGGTGTGAGAACTGGCGACTTCTGGTACGAGGATTGAAAGCCTGAGCGGCGGTCTCACACCTGTAGTGAGGGTTTGAGTTGGATTGGCGGTGGTTTCATTTCTGATTTTTGTCTCTCTGTTTTTCATAATTACCATCAAATGGTAGGTGGCGGTTCTCGTGAGAATGTCTTAGGATTCTGGGTACTTCTTGCAACTCATTATAAGCTTCTTTGTTGTTGTTAGATTCATGGACCTGCGGCTTTTCGATGCCAGAACGACGCTGGCCGGAGCTGGGGAGTTGCCCTGTAACCTGTCGATGGCAGGAGCGTGAGGCCTGGCAGAGAGATCTGGGGATGCCTTGGGCCAGGCATTCCAAGGGAAAACCAAGGGTTGCTGTCGGGACAATGCTGGCCGGAGCTGGGGTGAGTTGTGTTGCCCTGTAACCAAGCAGGGTGGGGGCATGAGGTCTGGGAGAGCCCGACAGGGAATTAGACAGTGTTAGAGAATTTTAGAGTGTTTTGTGGGGGTTTCCAGGGATTCTGAGCATTCGAAGGACTTTTTTTTTAATTTTCCTGGATTTTTTCT